TTTGAGTGTTTACACTAAAAAAAACACTTAAGAATACTCAAAATAACACTCATTTGAGTGTCATTTCGAACACCCAATCTGAGTGTAACTCTCATTCTGAGTGTAATCCTCAACTTAAGTATTATTCTCAACTTGAGTGTTAGGGTCAGAATATACGTACACTTTTGCATAACGCTGTATAATAACGCATAAGACATAAGGCATAATTAAAAGAATCAACCAAAAGATTAATTTTCAATAATATTTTATATCACTCAAGTACATATAAAAAATTATTTAAGCGAAATAATAGTATTGTTGAAACAACATTTGGAACTTTCATAAAAATCACGAGTATTATTTGTGTTACAACATTAAACAATATGGAAAGGTACGTGATTGTTGGAAAATCATTTGAAGTATTAAATGACACTCTATGTATACATAATAATATTTCGTCATCAAGCTACTGCCATTCCGTCAGAGAAACTAATAATGTTACGACCTGTTTGCCACAACATATTTGTAGTAAATGTATTCTTTTACCATGTAACAATAAATATTATATAATGAAATTAGTCAATAAAATAGAAACTGATTATATATATATATATTAATAAATGGAATACTTGTATTGCAAAATATAAACTTCTTGTATTTTTAATATATTTTATGGCATATTTATTATTTACCATATCATTAAATATTATTTTATCAGCATATTTTGTTTTAGCATATATAATCTTTTTTATTACTTTAAATAATTAATTAATTAAAGCATATTGCAATAAATATATAAGTATATATTACCAATAAAAAAACATTAATTTCCAGTTTACTAAAAAAATATTTAAAGTATATTTTTAAAGTTAATAAGAACGGATATTATTAAATTTTAAACTGCAATATTCTAAATTATTGCATTTACATAAAAAATTTTAACGCAATTATTTTTAAATATTTAAATGTTTGTGAGCATTTTTACATTAAAATTCAGTGTTAATACACAAGTATAAGAATTAACACTCAAATGACTTTTAAGAATACTCAATTTTGAGAATAACACTCAAAGATTTTGGACTTACACTTATTGAGTGTAAACCCATTGAGTATCATACCCAAGCGTTGAAAGTGAACTTTCAAATGTTTAGTGTTTACACTCAAAGTTGAGGGTACAAACTCAATCTTTTAATGCATACTTTCAATTTTAAGAACAAACTCTCAATCTTGAGTGTACATACTCACTATTAAAGCGTAAACACTGAACTTGCAGTGTAACACTCATAATTTGAATATATACACCTAAATTTGAGAGTAAACTCATAAAAATTGGGTGTTAACACTTAAATTTGAGTGTAAA